GCTTTTCCCGGGCCCTTTTCTTCTTCCCCCTGCCTGAATCTGTATCAGATACCACATCAGACTTTGCCCTTTTAGAGGCTGCCGTTTCTGAAGCTGCCCTCTCTGAACGTTCCTCCTGTAATATCTCTAAGGCTGCTTGGCCATTTTCTACTGCTTCACTGCACTTTTGATACTTGAGGCAGCTTTTCACTAATTTCCAGATAGGTCTTACTCCAGCCTTAAGCGTTCCCTGTTCTGCAGCAAACTCAAGGTCTCTACCTAGCTTTCCCCATGACGAAGTCGTAAGCTTCCCGGAGACTGCAAACCAAGGTGCAATGGTATCGCATTCCTCCAGGAACCTCCCTAAGGTATTTTTCTTAAGTTTTAGATTTTTCAAATGAAGCAGCTAGTTCAAAGCCAGAAAAATTGGGTGAGAAGGAGAATTCCCCATGTCTATTCACTGAGGATTCTCAATACACTCCCCACGATAATAAGTAAAAATGACAAATCAGAACACTGTATTCAAGAGTACCCAAGCTGCTACGAGCAAGTAGTAATCCCTCAACAGTATCCAACACTTTTGTCTTTTGGTTTCTCGGGCTTGCGAACAAACCGTATTAGCCCGTCCGCAGTAGTCTCGGCTCTACTTTCACTTTTGATATGTCTGCTCTAGTCGCGGCTCTACTTCCCCACTCTCCCTTTGTCTACAGGTGAGAGCGAATAACCCGCTTTTGTCGCAGATCCCCAATCTTACCTTGAGGACTTTCCGGTGCACCCCCTGACTGCAGCAAGTTCTGGGTTCCACAGAGAGAGAGAGAGTGGCTTGTTCTTTGTATGGGCCACCACTTGTCGCGACCACCTCGGCCAGCAAGGAAGACGCAACACCAGAGCTCTTCTTGCAAGCAGTTTAATCAGGACCTTGTTACAATGGTTTCTCTTCTCTGGGCAAGCCCCTCCCAGCCCTTAAGTAGACCTAGGCCGCCAATCCTGGATTGCCACGTGGGCACTGTCAATAGGTCCCCTTATACACAAGCAGCTTGTGTTCATTGCGTGATTATTGCATGAGCCTGGCCTTAGCCAAATAAGGTATTGTTTACCATGGAGAGCACTCGCTTTTGGGATCTCGGAAGGCGGAAGCTGGCGCCATCTTTCAGGTGCGGCTCCACACAGCTCTCTACAATGATTCAGTGGTTAAGAGCACCACCTGCTCTTCCAAAGGTCCTGAGTTCAATTCCCAGCAACCACATGGTGGCTCACAACCATCTGAAATGAGATCTGGTGCCCTCTTCTGGCCTGTAGGCAGAGTACTGAGAATACTGTATACATAATGAATAAATAAATCTTTAAAAAAAACAAAAAAGAATGGGGTGGCTGGGTGGTGGCAGTGCACGCCTTTAATCCCAACACTTGTTTTTTTGTTTTGCTTTGTTTTTATTTTTTGAGGCAGGGTTTCTCTGTTGCTTTGGAGTTTGTCCTGGAACCAACTCTTGTAGACCAGGCTGGCCTCGAACTAATCCCAGCACTTGGGAGGCAGAGGCAGGTGGATCTCAGTGAGTTCGAGGCCAGCCTGGTCTACAAAGTGAGTTCCAGGAAAATCAGGACTGTTACACAGAGAAACACTGTGTCAAAAAACCAAAAATAAATGAATGAACAAACAAACAAATAAATAAACAAGAAAGAGAGTGGGGGTGGTACAGTCTGACACGTAGACAACCTTACTTCAGTTTCAGTGTGCTTTTTATATAAATGGAACAAAGCAACGATCCAAGGAAGTTTAAGATCAGAAAAAAAAGTGTAAATAAACACCAGTAAGCACATCCTAAGTATTAACAGAGCAACCTTTTCCCAGAACGTTTTCAGAATAGACCAGTTTAAACACAATTGCCCGGCATGCACTACCGACTCTCTCTGGGGAAGCATGAAAGCAAGGCAGAGGGCCTTATCTGGACTCAGGGTGCACTGAAGACAGCACTTGGCATATCCTTTCACCGGATTGGCTTCTATAGCTGTGTTCTGACGTCCAACAGGATTGAACTTGTCTTATAAGTCAAACGTAACCGTTTGTTGCAGGAGGTGTGAAATTGTGTCTAAGAACAATCCCGGGAACAAAATGTGCCTGAGGTAACGGCTCTGGCCTTTCTTCCTGGAGACTCTTTCACAGTTCCTCAAGACATGGTTCACCGTGCATTAGGCTTCTGATCATGTTCTGACAAGTAACTATTCTGTCTGTCTTCTTATCTACCTTCCACCCATCTACCTTTTTATCTATCTATCTATCTATCTATCTATCTATCTATCTATCTATCTATCATCAATCTCTCAGTCAACCTACCTACTTCTTACTCTATCCACCCATTTATTTGTCCGAATCATTAAAAAGTGGATTAAAAAGTTCATGTTTTTTTCTTTACAGTGAGGGGCTGGGGATGGGAGCCAGGGCCTTTCACATGCTAAGCGAGTGTTCTCCAACCAAGCTGTAACCCCAGGCCTAAACCTCACTCAGTTTTCATCTGAGTGTCAGCTTGCTGCCCCACAAGGCGCAGCCATGACACTATTATCTAACTGAATTAGATAGATGTGTGTGTGTGTGTGCAGGAGCGTGCGTGCACACATGCCTGTGTATGCTTCAGCACATGTGTGGAGTAAGTTCTCTCTTTCTACTCTGTGGGTCCTGGGAGTGAAACTTATATTGTTTGCCTTGATTGCAATTGCCTTTCATCGACCCTCAATTTAAAAACAAAAAACAAAAAAAAAAACAAAAAAACCAGAACAGTTCACAGGCATTCTGTTATCTACAGGTACCCTGCTGACTAATAGCCCACCAGAACTCCTTACCGTCTCTTAGTCTCTGACAATCCATCACCTGTCCCCTCCCCTAGTCTCCTGGCTTCCAAACCCTGCTGCTACAGCCCCTGACCTCCGCTATTGGCTACTCTGAGTCAACGTGAGTGAGCTGGCCTCTGCTGGTGTCACAGCCCCTAATCTGTCTTGGGAGTTGGGACCAGCTGTCAGAACTGGTGTCAAGACCCCCAGTTCCTGAGGTATATGGGGTCCTTCACCCTTCAATCTTCTCGCTCTCTGAGCTCTCAGGGTGGCTGGGGAAGTTCTTCAGCCTTAGCTTCTGCTCTTTGTCGCTCGTCACCACCACTTTTGTTGTCTGTCATCATTGCCCTTGCTGCTGCCTCGAACTCTTCCACCATCTCATCCGGCCACGCTGCGGTCCCTTTAACATTTCCTCTTCCTGTTACCAGTTCCGCATAGTTTGCTAGTGATGAAGACTCAAAGCAAACACAGGGCAAGACTGGACAGGGTAGCTTTTTTGGTCCTAAAGTTGCACCACCAGGAGAAGGAAGCCAGGGACATCTCCAGGCCAAATCAAAAAGTGGGCTAAATAGCCTTTTGTTGTTGTTGTTGTTGTTGTTGCTGTTGCTGTTTTTAATTTATTTATTTATTATGTATACAATATTTTGTCTGTGTGTATGTCTGTAGGCCAGAAGAGGGCACCAGACCTCATTGCAGATGGTTGTGAGCCACCATGTGGTTGCCGGGAATTGAACTCAGGATCTTTGGAAGAGTAGGCAATGCTCTTAACCACTAGCCATCTCTCCAGCCCTCGTTTTTTGTTTTTTCTTTTTGTTTTTAGAGACAGGTTTTTTTTTCTGTAGCTTTGGTACCTGTCCTGGAACTAGCTCTTATAGACCAGGCTGGCCTCGAACTCACAGAGATCTGCCTGACTCTGCCTCCTGAGTACTGGGATTAAAGGCACCACCGCTGCGTAGCTAAATGGCCATTTTACATAGTCAGAAAGTTGCTTAAGGATGTTCCACTAACCAGACATCAGCTTAGCCACCATGAGGACATACTCCCTCTCTGACCTGTATGTAGACTTTACCAAGACTGCTGGTGGCAGAAAAATCCAGAATGAGCTTTTTTGTTTCCCTTTTTTTCTTTGTTTGTTTGAGATAGGGTTTCTCTGCATAACCCTGGCTATCCTGAAACTTGTTCTTGTAGACCAGGCTAGGCCTGATCGCAGAGATTCGCCTGCCTCTGCTTCTGGAATAAAAAGCTTGCACCACCACCTGTTGGGTTGAGCCTTCTTAGCCAATCCTAGCTGGGACAGAAGCCAGATTTACACTTCAGCAGCCAGAAGCTGTGCTTACTGTATGGTTTCCTTTCATTGTCTATGGTGTAGCCAGAGAACCTAGGCTGTCCTGACGGTTGCCCAGCTGGCTGCTTGCTGAAGCGTCTTCCATGCAAGGCAGCCAGGCATATCAGGTAAGAGTGTGACAGCTGTCAAGCACGTCTGGCCTCGGACATCCTAGCATATTTGTTGGAAAAATAAACATTGAAACCAGTATCTGTGGGCTTGTAAGATGGCTCAGTGGGCAAGAATGCTTGCTACTAAGTCTGATGACTTGAGTTTGGTCCCTGAACCCAACACGTTAAAGGAGAAAACCAATTGCTTCAAGTTATTCCCAACTTCCATGTATGTATATGCTGTAGCATAGATATACAGACCCAACAAATAAACAAATAAATAAATCATAAATTAAATGTAGTGAAAGTGTGCTGACCAGTAAAGTCCCTCTGCTATTCAGTGCAATCTGAAGCCTTAAGAAGAGTGGAACTTTCGGTTGCTTTAGTTGCTAGTCACATGTGCCTGATAACATGTGGCATGTAGTGTTCACGTACAGACAGGCATGGCAGCTCAGGCCTGCATTCTCAACACTGGGGAGTCTGAGACAGCAGACTGCCATGAGTTTGAGACCAGCCTGGATTTCAGAGCAAAGCCCTCCCTCCAACGTCCAAAAAAGACAACAGGGAATTGAAGCTTAGTACATTCGAATAAAAGTTGCTCCCCTTTGCAGACAAGCCATGTTACTGTGTCCTGAGTTCGCTCACTGAGCCCCCCAGCAGGGCTCCAGTCCTTCAGACATGGTCCAATCAGGGAAAACAGCACATTTTACTTTTTTTCCAAGTCCTCAGTGACCTCGTGTTTTATTCTTCTTGCATCTTTCCAGGTCTTGGTTGAAATGGGGACCTCAAGTCACAGTTGAACACCCAAGCTGTCCTACACACTCCGGGGGGTGCTTTACGGCAGCTACTGGCAGATTCACGCTGAAGCATCCTGCTGAAGCATCTTAGAGCAGGCCTGAGAGATGCAGAGGTGGAAGGAGTGTGGTACCCAGTTCATGCCTTAGCTCTGCTCTCATCCTCTTCCCTGGAGATCTGGCCCCAAGAAGCTGACACCCCCATAACAACAGGCCACTGCGCCTCTGGTCATGAGTCACCGTCTGCACACCTCGGACAGGTTTGAGGGCTTCTTTGTTGCGTGTCCACTGTGTAGTCAGCGACTTTTGGGGTAGAGTTGAATGTCCCGAGACAGGAAGGAAACAGGCTGATTTGAGGACTTGGGAGGAAGTACAATTGGTATATTTTAGTCCTTTTGTTGGAATAATAACAATTGTTTGCTTGTTTTTAAGTATATACAAGCTTGTGAAAATGTAGCGGTGAAACCCAGTAACAGGAGAGGGGGCTCAGGGCAGCCTCTGCATTTGGAGGACAATGGCTGCTGGGTTTTCTCCTGCTGGAGCAGGGGCACAGAACATAGCATGTCCTCCTAACTCCCCCTTCTTTCTTTTCTTCCTTCCTTCTTTCCTTCCTTCTTTCCTTCCTTCTTTCCTTCCTTCTTTCCTTCCTTCCTTCCTTCCTTCCTTCCTTCCTTCCTTCCTTCCTTC